GACGATCGCAAATCGTCCCGGGACGATTTGCCCTCTAGACAAAATTCATTCAGATGTGTACAGTATTCATACCTAGACGAGTTGCTCTCGGGAAAAATTTAGTCCAAACGAACCCCAGTTTGTTCTGGGATGAACTTCTCTGTCCAGAAATTTCTTTACAACATGTACCGATCTTCCCAGACGATCCAACTTCGTCCGGACGAACATGGAAGGAAAAATAGCTTTCACAATCTCCCCAACTTTAGAAAAATGTTGTCCTCGATATTTTCAAAATAAAACTGAATTAGAACATATGCGGATATAACTGTCTCATATCTGACTCCTTCTCCCAAGTCGCCTCTCGTGCTGTTCTAAGCTTCCACTGAATTTTAACCATCGGAATCTGTTTATTTCTTAACTTACGCACATCATAAGCCAAAATCAGCTCAGGCTCTTCCTTATACTGCAGATTCTCCTAAATCTCCACATCATCAACAGAAAGTTTCTTTTCAGAGTCAGAGATCCACTTTCTCAAAGAGGATACGTGAAACACATTATGTACATCAGACATTTGATCAGATAATAACAGCCTATAAGTAGACTTTCCAATCCTTTCGAGGATTTCAAAAGGTCCGACATACCTTTGACTAAGCTTGCTTACCCTTCCAAATATGCAGGGGCGGAACCAGCCATAATTTTCAAGAGCGGCAAACTTATAAGCAACTGTTAACAGATATGCCGGGGTCCAAGGAGGCAGCCCCCTCTGGCGGGATTCGACACAATGTATATATTAACACCTTTAGATAATATATTTAATTATACTGTGGGAAATTTTTTAATTAAAGACCATAGTATTTTAAAACTTTTAGGGCGGCAATTGCCTAAAAACTCTTATAATAAAGACTCAAAAATAGATTGAGGGGGGCAAATTAACTAAATAATCGTATAATGAAAAAAGTAATTTTTTTAGTGGGGGAAATTATCTAAATAATTGATTATTTAGATCATTTGCCCCCCTCAATCTATTTTTTAGTCTTTATTATAATAATTTTTAGACAATTGACCCCTTAAAAGTTTTAAAATACTATGGTCTTTAAATAATTGCCCACAATATAATTAAATATATTGTCTAGAGGTGTCAATATGGGACTCAACACCCCTAAATATATTCAGGGGCGGAACCAGCCATAATTTTTAGGAGCGGCAAACTTAAAAGCAACTGTTAACAAATATGTCGGGGTCCAAGGTGGCTGCCCCCATGGTTGGATTCGACACAATGTATATATTAACACCTCTAGATAATATATTTAATTACACTGTGGGCAATTGTCTAAAGAACGTAGTATTTTAAAACTTTTAGGGAGGGGGTGGAGCAA